GTGACTTGGTTCAGCAATCCATTGCGGCCGCAATGAAGTCGGTCTCCTCGAGCTGGTCTGCCAATGACTTTTGCCTCAGGAGATTAGACAGGTCGTGGGCAGGGTCAAGGAGCCAGTCCACGGAGATGGTGCGCCATCCACACCACAGAAAGGTTAGGTTCGGACCACACATGAGGTCAGCCATCAACGGTGGTTCGCCACCAGGCAGCGCTACCGCAGCGGACCCAGAGGATGCAGCCGTTGGCACAGGGCAACTCCATCTTTCAGCACCTTAGCCACCGAGTGGCCGGCGCGGCGCTCCCCTCGCCGGCACGCACCACCCAGTGCGGGTCCCGGGCCTCAAACACCTCCATGACCACCTTGCCCAGCGTCTTGGTGCTTGCACGGAATTTGGTCACCCACTCAGTCCGTTCTGCCAGGTCCTGAGCCTGCAGCCATCCCAGCCGCTTGTGGTGCGGGAGCGACTGGAGCACCCGTTTTGCCCGGTGGTAGTAGGCCAAGAGGACATCGAGCGGGACCTGGACAAAGCTTGTGCTGTCGGCCCAGGACGGCCTCCCTAGCCGCCTCTGGAGCACCTGACACCCGGCCCGTGCCAGCCAGGGCGTAGGCCACCAGCAACGTGTAGAGCTTGTCCAGATAGCCCTCCCAATCCCTGGCCACAGTGTCCTCGTCCGCGTCTTCTTCGACGAACAAGGTGTCAGCCAGCTTCCTCTTCTTGCTAGATGACGTGAGCTGGAATTGCAATGAACGAACCTTCCAAACATCGAAAACACACAGCAGCCTCTTGGACATCTCTCGACTCACTCGGGAAACGGTGGCATCCGATGGGTACAATTCCGGGGGGAGCCGGACTCGGTACCTGGTCCAAAAGGCCACCTTGACATCCCGAAGCTCGCTGTCTCCCAGCAGTGAATCGAGGTCAGTGGCACTCACTTTGGAACGGTCGGTGTCACACTGTTTGAAATACAGTGAAACCGCGGACCAGGCCCGCCTCAAACGGGCCACCTGGATCATTCGATCATCTCCCAGATTCAGTTTGCTCAGGAAGTTTTCTACCTGTGCCTCCGAGTCGAAGAAAAATCGAAACTCTCCCAGGCGGGCAATCTTGCGTTTGAGGAGGGGGCGTGGACGACCGATTGCTCCAGATCGAAGTTGATTGCCAGGGCCCCAAGGGTTTCCTCAATGGTCTTCCCAGGCGGAGGCACCAACCCCAAACTTGCCATTCCCGCCGGGGTCACTCCCGTCAAAGCCGGATCTAGTCCTGCAATACGAAATGGGCTGAGGCAGACCCCATCCCATGACTGACTTCCAAAACCGCAAAACATCAGCCATAGTCTACTCACTGCGCCGCCACCCAACTGGAGCTCGCGCTTGGCAAAGGTGGCACAAGGTCCGCCCCCACGCTGACGCCTCCTCCCAGGTGTCGCACAGGATCGGATCCTTCAAGCGCCCAGCACCAGAGCGCGCCTGCTTGTGGCTACACAGCGGCGCATCGTTCATCATGCGCAGGTGGATGTTCGAGCGCACCGTGGTCACGTAGCCCACCGGCAAAGGCCACGAGGGTCCCACCCTCGTTTCCTGCCGCATTTGCTCCACCCACATCCCAGTGTCCTTGTCGCGGGCGATCTTGCTGGACTCGATGCTTCTGCGGGCACGGATCCACGCCTCCGACTCCGAGATGGTCTCCCGGGTCAAGACTGATGCCCATCGCCGCAGCCCGGTGCCGGCCCGCCATGCAGTGCACGAGAGCCTGTTCACCCGCCGCCAACGTCTGCTGCAGCACGGCCCACATGTCCTTCCAGCCCTCCGTGCGGTCTCGCGGCTTCGTGATGGGCATGTACACCGGGAGCGCCCCCGGCAAAGTCACACCCCCCCAGCTCTCCGGGCTGCTCGGAAGGCAGATGACCTGCAGGGTCACGGGCGGGAAGTCGGGCGCCTCCGCCTGCTTCGGGAGTCCGGACAACCACAAACGGCCACCCTTTGCATTCTGGTAGATGCACGTACCCACCTGCGCGGCGCGTTCCTCCGCAAGGGCATCAAACAGCTGGCCTCCCTGGCCACAGGGAGCACAGCCGCCGGACGCGAAGGCTGTGACGGGGCCTCCGAGTCACCCTCGGGCCAGGCGTCACGCCTCCTCCGCTTCTCCTCAGGGCCGCTCTTCGGCACTGGTCGAGCCACTGCTCGCGGCCCCCGACGGCCGAGCCGGGATGGACGACTCCGGGTCCTCCACCATGACCACCTTCCTAACCCGGCAAACGCCCGCTGCATGCTTCCCACCGCAGGCTCTCCCCGTCAAGCGGATGCATGCACAAAGGTGCGCAAACCCGCACACTCGCTCCCCGGGACAATGCCCTGCCTGGAAGAGCCGCCACCGCGCCCACCATCCTGTGCTTGGCCAACAAGGACGCCGCGTACTTGGCCCCGCTGTGGCATGCGAGCATCCTCCGGGACGTCACCTTTGGTCTGCCAGTCGCCCAAAGCTGCCATGTCGAGGGCGCTAAACCCCACCAGTTGGCCCACAGTTGTACCGACCCGCCGGAACGAGTACGACGAAATCATCGCCGGGTTCTCCACCAAGTCCGCAAACTCGTGCCGGGCCACCCGGTAGACATCGGACAGCGACCACGGGATCCCCTCCCGACGGAACGCCCAGCCCGCAGTCTGCCTTCTGCTTCTCCGGCACCAGGGCAAAGTCATGGAGCCAGGCCGCCGACCAGTCCCACCCGGTTGACAGCTGTCCGGGCACGCAGAAGTCGAAGCCCTTGCGCAGTCGCCGCTGCTTCCCTTTGCTGCAGTGCGCGTGGACCGTCGACATGGTCACCTTCCGCACCTCCGCCCGAGTGAGGTGCTTGTGGCGTAGAACTCCTCCATAGAGCATCCACGCCGCCAGCAATGCTTGCCAGCGATCATCGCCCTGCGTGTAGAGCTCCTCCATCCGCTGCTCCATCTTCAGCAGCATCACCGGTTCCACCACCGCTGCCTGCCCTCTGGGCCCTGCCCGACGCGCCTGTCCCGCAGGCGGCGCGAGCATGCCCAACCCCAGATCCACCCTCGCCTGCTTGGTCAACCAGCGCAGCGATTGAGTAGCACGGGCCGGAGCAGCTGTTCCTTCGTGGAGGAAAACATCAAGGTCGACCACTTCTGGTGGCAGCGGTCGAGATCGTGCCTGCATAAAGGTGATCACCTCACCCCATGTGCGCAAGGCATTCAGCACCGCGGCCCTCTCCGCCTCCGTCACCAGCCGCTGCGCCAAACGAGCGCATGATCCTCGCCACTCGCGCCGCAGCTGCTCCGTCAGGACTCCTGTCGGCTGCAGTGCCTCGCTGAGCCGCTGGACCTGCATCGTGATCGCCTCCGGTTCGTCTTGAACTGCTCGAAGGCGTACCGCCGGAGCCCTCGAAGGCCGAGGGGCCAGAGGCCGAAAAGGAAGGTGAACAGCCGTCCCCCGGCTCTCGCCCTCCACCGCATCAGCCGCGGCCGGCAGCAGCTCGGACTCCTGGGCGCTCCGCACAAGCACCCACGAATTGGCCAGGTCCCTGCCGCCAGTGGTCAGCGCCTCTCAAACGAGTGGAAGGCGAACGCAAAGTCCGCAATTCTGCAGCCCGTGCTCGCGCCTCCACCTGGCAGTGTGCTGAGCGCCCACCGCCCCCAAAGCCGACTCCGGGTCCCACTGCCCCCCGCCATCCCCCGCCAAGCGAGCGTAGATCCCGGTCGGTACAGCTGCCATGGCGCTAAGGATCCTTGAGAGAGACCAAATGGCTGAGGCATTCCTCGCAGATTGGCCTGTCCCGGACGACGTGCCGTGTGAGGGCCCCACACCGCATGCAAGGGGGGGGAAAAAGCCACTGGCCCAGAGCCTTCCCGGCCCACGCAGTGGCCCCATCGCGACTCTCCCAGTCGCCGGAGGGGATCGGCTCATATGCCGGCTCTCGCCAAGAGACACGGCCTGCCTGCCACCTCCTCCACGCCCAGAAGACGGCCTCCCGATCGAGGCCACACTCCTCAAGGCCGGCCACCTCCACGTAGCCAATGAAGCGCGCCATGTGCTCGGGGAGCAGCTGCTGCACTCGCATGCCCGAGTCAAGGGTCCGAAGCTGATCCTCATCCAAGTAGTCCCGGCCCGCATAGTAAAGGTCCCAAGCTGCCGCCGGGCCAACCTCTGCTTGAACCAAGACTGCGCGTTTGGTCCATATCCCGAGCCACGGGAACTGGAACCCCCCACGCATCTCTGTGCACTAGCACACCCTGCCACCATGCAGGGGACCTCCCGCAACGACCCAGGGTGTGAATGCGAAATTCAGAGACCTCGGTTGGGGGAAGGTGCACCACCACAACTTCCTTCCACAGTCGAACGGCCTGGTCCCGTTTTTGACGGGCCAGCAGTCCTTGCACGTGGGCTTCGAAGTCCAGGAGGGCCGCCGGGTGCAACATCCGCGCCTGAGAATGGGCCACCAAAGGGCCTGCATCAGCGCCAGACATACCAGAGTCCCACTCCAGTCAACAATGTAACCGAAAAAAAATATATATATATATATATGTCTTTGACGTGGTACCTGTTTGTGACCGTCATAAGAGAGACCAAGCGAGACGTCAGGCTGCAGTTTGAGGGTTCATCCCATTCGGCGACGAACCCATTTAACTACCAACCATAATGGTAGCCAAAATGTTGTACTTACTATATTGTATTAGGTCCCTTCTAAATGGTTACTTACAAGCTTTCAAAGGTATGGCATAATGTCATTTGCTGCAAAATATGGATGTATGTGATTTTTTGAGAACCCCTTGGTGGTTGGCAAAGCAACCAGATGTTGGGGTCCGAGCCAATTTTAGGACACGCCTTCTCCCTGATCCGGGTGCTGGGTGAACAAATTACAAAACGATGCATTTCCTTCCAAGGGTATGGGCTACAGCAACCGAGTTGGAGATTTAGCGCGGGTGATTTCGAAACAAACTCATCAGTGGGCGCTTCCCCGGTGCTCATCCGGCCGCCCTCCGCAAGCCTTCGCCCTTGGCTTTGATGGGGGCCTCGCCTCAAACGCGCCGAAAAGAGGCGCTACAGGTCTTCGCTTGCAAAACCTGTGGATGGTCACGTATGCGTGTACTGCGTGTCTTGGTTTTCTTCAAGGCGCCTTCAAAACTTGCTGCGCCCTGCTAAGATCACTTATTGCTTCGCCTACTGCTTCCCAAGCTTAAAGCCCCTCCACACAGAAAAAATACATTCACACGCACCAGCCCTAAATCAGCAACTCCTATTGCCATCCCTTTAAACATCCGCCAAGACAAAGCCCCAAGTTTTTGGACAGGTGCAAGAAACCCCGCTTGAGCGTTCTTCGACTCTCAAAACAATTCTGATCACCACTGAACTTGGCCAATAAATCACCAGCATTGCTGAACTGTTACGATTTCTGGTCCGCACTGAAGACTCTTTATGTAGCACGGCCTTTTGGTAGACAACAGCTGCAATAGCCAAACCCACAAGGCCCATAGGCCCGGGGACAACAGCCCCACCATCCCCACTTAGTAGGGCGGGCGGGTGGGAAAACACAAGCTGAGCAAGCAGTCAGGTACCTAAACCTACAACCAGCGCAACTGTATGGCCAAGCACGTAGCCAAACATATTTGATCAAAACGACCTACTGAATAACCATAGAGAGTGCGATGCTCAAGCCAAGCCGTGCGAGTCTAACCTCTCTATGTTAACCAACAACACAGCGCGGGCTTTTTGCTTCGGAGACAACAACTGTAATAGCCAAACCCCGCAAGGCCCACAGGCCCGGGGACAACAGCCCCGCCATCCCCAACGCAACTGTTGCCCCCAGCCGTGCTAGGAGGCTGCGAAAAGTTGAGACTGCTCAGCACAAGTTGAGCAAGCAGTCAGATGACACAGCTGCACACGTACCTAAAAACAACCAGTGCAACGGTATGGCCAAGCGTGTAGCCAAAAAATATTTGATCAAAACAACCTATTGAATTGGCATAGAGAGTGTGATGCTCAAGGCAAGCCATGAAAATCTAACATCCCGCTTTCCATTTCCCCACAAAAACGGGTATCCCACTGCACCGTGTTCCCACCGTTTGCGTGCTTTCATTTCACAGTTGTGTTGCAAAAGGCAGCCAATATGTGTTGTTTTTCATTTGACAAGATTTGACAAATAACCGCCTATGTGTTTAACCAATTTGAAAAGAAGAAAGAAAGCCTCAGCCTGTCTCGTTGTTGCAGAGACCCAGGCTGCGACAGGACACAGCCCGATATCCCCAAGCCCAGAAAGCCCCAAATGGACGCTGTTTGTGTCCAAGCCTCGGATGAGGGGCCGGTCTGCCAGTTCCTCCTAGCTCCTTTTCCCTCGGCGATTTCCGACTTCTTGCAGAGCGCCGGACTGGGCTAACTGGTCGCCTAGAGACACGCTCAAAAAAACGACTTCCAGCTAGGGCTGAAAGCTCCAACCCGACGGAGATTCCCGACCCTGTGGCCCCTGGCTTCTTTGGCGGGCCTGGCGCGGCTTCTTTGGCAAATCGTTGGCCCAATCGTACGAGGGCGTTCAATAAAGCTGGGGTATGAGGCTCAAAGCCACGGACCCCATTCTAGAAGGAACTAAGATGTAAGTGACTTGGCTTAATGGACAAGGATCAATATTAGGCTGTGTCACTTGACAAGATTTGGCAAGGAAGCGCCTATGTGTTGAATCAAATGGACAAGAAGAAAGAAACCGACATGGAAACCAACACTTTGGAAGGGCCCCTCTGACACATACCCACATGCTGCATGGTCCCAAGCCATCGAGTCCCCAACGCATGCCCAAAGGGATTTCAGGGAATGACTTGTTTTGTTTCTCACACATCCTTCAACAAAACCTTCAGTTCAGCCTGACAAGGTTATGTGCTTGGTTGCTAGTGCTACGTATCCCGATCCTTTCTGCGCATATCTGGCTCAACCCAACCTCAACCGTGTCTTGTGAGTGTCAGCGACCGAAAATGCCGCAGCCCGGTATACATCCTTTTAAGGCAACCTTAAGAGGCGCAAAAGTTCCCACGCTTCGCATGCTTCGGAATCGGTAGAGGCAGACCGGCTCCACATGCGTCGCCCGGAAACACAACAGCAGTTGCAGCTCTTTGGCTCCACGAAAGTGTCGGTATGTGTCATGTTTTGTTGTTGTTGTTGTTGTTGTTGTTGTTGTTGTTGTTGGTGGTGGTGGTGGTGGTGGTGGTGGGTGGTTGGTGGTTGGTGGTTGGTGGTTGGTGGTTGGTGGTTGGTGGTTGGTGGTTGGTGGTTGGTGGTTGGTGGTTGGTGGTTGGTGGTTGGTGGTTGGT